ATATATATATATATACACACACACACACACACACACACACAAAGAAAAACAAGTAGAATAGAAAAAATAGCTAGTTTTTGTTTTGTTTTTTTTTAGAATAAAAAATATTATTATACAATATAGCACTAATATAACTAGATGAACAGATGTTGTATTTTAGCCAATCAGCATCCAGAGCTAGAGTTGTTTTATAATTTAGCGTTTAAAACTAGCATAGATCGCTTTAGCGAAATAAACTTGGTTTAATAATAGACAGCAACTGCTGATACTAAAACTTGCCGTTTTTTCTTTATCTAGATTGTTCCAGTTGTTGCAAGAATCCTTACAGAGATGTTTTCAGGCGAGCTTTCGTGGTCCACAGACAGCATTCGGTTGCAGATCTCCAACCCTGACCTGAAAGACCAAACGGTGGAGCAGTTCAAAGAGCTCCACAGACTGTTGCAAAGTCAAAACGCGCACCTCGCCTGGGCTCAAAACATCCACTAACTGAAAGAGGAGCCCATTTTTTCATCAGCAACACCATCTTGTTCATTGCCTGCTCAGAATTGGAGGTCCTGTGGAACACTGGAATATATAGGTGCCCTCACTGATGCCATACTGAAAACATTTCCATTGGAGACCAAACTTGACATTTCTTTTCCCACATTTTTTTGTCTTCATGTAAACTTGTCTTTTAAAATGTTATATTTCAATAAATACCAGTGCAGTATTTTAAATGATTGCTGACATGATCAGGTTACCACAGTATGATTCATCCCATGAACGTTTGAGCAACCTTAGTACAACGCCGACCCTGTAAAACCCTGAAATAAGCTATCACTCATAGATTTAAGACTCATATTTAATGCAAGTTCTTTGCAAACATTACAAGAGCAGGTGGATAATATCTGCTGACCTCATCTGATAGGGTCCCTGCCAGTAACACGAATCTGTGAACTTGAACGGATATGACCATGTACTTGACTACATAAAGTTCATTCAGCAAATTGGATGTGGGAGGGGTGGCCTGAGGGTTTACTTGAGCAATTAAGAGAATCACATGATTGTAGGGCCTTCGGAAAACTCAGACAATAGAGGAGGGTTCGATATACTCTGACTCAGAAAACGAGACCTAAAGGACCCATGTAACTTTCTTAAAATGAAACCTGGTCAAACAGGTTCCGAGAGCTGCAAGAGAATGTAAATCACTTCTCAAACACACGAGTGCATCTGAAATGATACGAGACAAAAGATTAGTTTGTTCCTCACAATGTTGGTTTTATTTGTTCACACAATCGGCCGAAGACGATCTCTGCATCTCGAGATGTGCCAATAGGGTGAGAAAACAAAAAAAAAAAGCCCCTGCCAGTCAGTCCACTCCATAATTTACAGCATAACCTGTACGGATAAAATCCCAGCCAACTTTAAAAAGATCAAGGGTGACGCCAACTCTCCCAAGATTCTCCCATTCCAAATGTCCCACAGGCGCAGGCTGCTGCTGTGACGATCTTTAATTTGGTAGTCGTTTTTAATGGCACTGGCAGCAAAGCCATATCTTGATCTCTAAACACTTCCATGAAAATAAATCTCCATTTGTTTTTAAAAACTTACAAGTCTCTCTTTTTTTTAATGATGCATTATGATTTGCAACCAGGCACATCCTTATTTGTCGTTGGTTTTTGATGGACCCCCAGAAATCCGACCGATGCAGAAGTTCATCCATGTTTTGAAATGGGTGTGTGTGTGTTTCAGTGTCCATTCGATGGCCCCCCTCCCACAAGACGACGGTGTCCCTTCCGAAATATCCCCCCCTTCTCTCGGTGCGGCTGGCATCAGTGTGCTCATAGAGGTAAAAGGGAGGGATGGGGCTGCAGTCTTTTGACACCCACAAGGCAAATTGCTTTTCCTGAAACCCTGCCATTCCAAAGCTCCAATTCAATTGGTCGGCTTTCCCATGGTGCCAAGTCCCACAAATCCTTCATGCAAGAGTTCCCTTTAGTTTCTCAACAGTGGTCATCATGGCTCCCTTTGCCACTTCCTCCAAATGTTAGCAAAACAAAAAATCTGACCTGCAGAGGACAAGAACGAACATTTTACAATGCTGAATTTTTTCAGAAATATTTACATTCCAACATCTTTGACCAATGAATTTGACTTCTCCAGTCATTTGACTTCAAAAAAAAAAAAAAAGGATGTTTTTTTAACGATGTGTAAGACCTTGTAAACAACTTAATCTGCTTATGACTTGATAAAATTAAAGTTTTCGCAAACCTGATTGCGCACCAGTAAATAGTGTTGGGGACTAACCAAACAAAAAACATACGATTTCAAAATCTCATGTAAACGGTTTTCTTGTATAATGCTTTTTCTTAGCAGCAGCAGAAATGATAAAACAATATTTAAAAGAAATAAAAAAATACATAACATTTTTATTTCAATCTTTACCATATTAAGATATTGTAATACAATATTTACATTACATATATAGTTCCATTTAAAATAAACAGTTTAATTCAAAAATGTATTATAACAAATATAAAAGAAAGCAAAAGATACAAACTAATTTGATTATATGCATTAAAATAATTCCATTAAGTAAACATTGAAAAATAAAATCTTTAACATTAATATTTTAATAAATCTAATATATATTAATATATTGTAATACAATATAATGTTACATCTTACATATGTGACCCTGGACCACAAAACCAGTCATAAGGGTAAATTTTTTGAAATTGAAATTTATACACCATCTCAAAGCTGAATAATTAAGCTTTCCACTGATGTATGGTTTGTTAGGATAGGACAATATTTGGCTGAGATACAACTATTTGAAAATTTGGAATCTGAGGGTGCAAAGAAAATCGCCTTTAAAGTTGTCCAAATTAAGTTCTTACTTCTTAGCAATGCATATTACTAATCAAAAATTAAGTTTTGATATATTTACAGTAGGAAATTTACAAAATATCTCCACAGAACATGATCTTTACTTAATATCCTACTGATTTTTGGCATAAAAGAAAAATCTATAATTTTGACCCATTCAATGTATTTTATTTACACAAAAGATATTTTGAAGATTGCTGGTAATCAAACAGTTGGTGGTTGCCACTGACTTCCATAGTATTTTTTTTTCCCTCTATGGAAGTCAATGGCAACCACCAACTGTTTGATTACCAGCAATCTTCAAAATATCTTCTTTTGTGTTCAACATAAGAAAGCAACTCATACAGGTTTGTAACAACATGAGGGTGAGTAAATGATGACAGAATTTTCATTTTTGGGTGAACTATCCATTTAAATAAACATCATTAATTGAGGAGAAAGTTTCCATGTTATGCACAATAGCATGACAAATTTAGAGTTCAATATGCTTCTGTCACCTGGTCTTGCAGCATCAGCAGGTAAAAGACAGCTATCGGTACAGCCTGGTAAACTCTCTTATCGCCCAACAAACCTGTTTACATTCCTCTGCACTAGGGTGACATTAATAGATCGATGGAGAAAAAGAGAACAAATTAGCATCACTTTTCATCAAACTAATAAACAATGAGCTGGTCTATTATTACTAATCACAGGTCAATTTCCAAACACGCCGAAAGCATGGGCGAGCAACACAACGGCGCTGCATCAATCAGTCTGGCGTGGTTTGGACTTTCCATGCAACGCTGTGACTCATTCTGCTTTGTAAGAATATGCATTTGACATCTGTGCACAACACCATGCTGGGAGGCTCCTCGTTCCTCAGGTCAAGACTTGCCAAAGTATGAGATACTTCGCTCTCTTGGACGACTGGTTATGGGAACTTGTTTATGCATGCCGTACTAAGCTAACCACAAGGAGAACCGAACGTGCACCAACTTGCAATACCCCAAAAGACAAATGTTGCCTGTAATCTACACTGATAAGCACGATTACTTTTTATTATAGACAAAAGCACTTTTAATTAAGGAACAGGCACATTTCTTCAGGAGTGTAATGAAATTATAATGAAATTATCTTAATGCAGTCAATGTTCACGGCCTTCTTTGAAAGCTCAGGTGACGGCAGGCACAAACTCACCTTGTGACCTGCTTATGGAAGTCGGTGAGCTGCTTGTGTGTGACGGTTAGAGCGCCTCCTGCTGTTTCTTTTGGAAGACCCTTCAGTGCGGTTTCCAACCAGCGGCAAAATGTCTAGAGACACCGAGACAGCCACAACATGTGACAATTTTGACATCACAGCCTCATTTATGAAAGGAAATTTATACAGAAAATCTCTTTAAGATCTCTGAAAAGTATTTAAAAGACAAGATTAGTCAACCCTCTATGCACACCTTGGCAATAAATCGCCATTGGCTAGTACATTTTTTAGTTTACTCGCCAGACTAAAGATTCCACCAAATCAGTTTATCTTCATTATCATTCATTATGAATGAAAATGTATTAATGCATATTTGTCATTTTAACTGAACTTAGGACTGGTGGTGGTGCTTGAGACATTGTTGATCATTCAGTAAAAAAAAAAAAAAACTAACAATAACACTGATCATATACAGGTGCATCTCAATAAATTAGAATGTCGTGGAAAAGTTCATTTATTTCAGATACTAATAATTAAAGTAGAATTGGAATAGTGCGGAGAGCAAAACTCGAGCATGCAGTGTTCAAAATGAGTCAAGGTGAGCGAAATATCTGCGTTAAACTTATACTTAGCCTCTAACTCAGGGGTGCCCAAACTCGGTCCTGGAGGGCCGGTGTCCTGCAGAGTTTAGCTCCAACCCCAATTAAACACACCTGAACCAGCTAATCAAGCTCTTATAGGCATACTAGTAACTTACCAGCAGGTGTGTTGAGGCAAGTTGGAGCTAAACTCTGCAGGACACCGGCCCTCCAGGACCAAGTTTGGGCACCCCTGCTCTAACTCAAACACTAGCGAGTGAAATCTAACAATATATTAGCCAATGGCTAACGATAGACATTATTTGGTCACCTAGCATGGAAATTTAGTCACATATGCGAGTGAATTACTCCCATTTTAGAGGGTTGTTAGTATAAATGATTAAAAGTGTTTAGTAGAAGTTACTGGTTATCACATAAAAAAAAATTAAGTGGAAAAAAAAAAGATAAATTAAGAAACTAATACAAAACGTTTAAAAAAAATTCAATTTATCAACAAATTTTATTATGTGTGTAGAAAAAAAAAGTTATTAAAAATTTTTTAAGAACAAAAAATAATAAAAAATACCTCATGTCTGTAAAATGCAACCTGCTACAATGCAAGTAAATCACTTATAAACTTTCATGCTAGGTGTCTAAATAATGTCTATCTTAGCCACTGGCTAATAAATTGTTAGATTTAGAGTATAAGTCACTCTGTCTTTAAAGCGTGGTATCAATGGATGCTATATGTAAATGATATTCTTTGTAGTATTTTCCTGTCAAAATGACACTAGTTTGTTTGGAATTATTCAGCCTTAATGAACAAGCAGAAGCCACTGCTGCTTCCATCGATAGTGGGCAGAACTAATCAGCCGGCATGTGGCAATCTCATTGGCTAACTCTCACCTATTACCATCCACATTTAGATTTCAGCAAATCAGTTCAAGCGAACACAGACAACGTGATTAATATTCATTAAGCCAAAAGCTGTACAAATATAAGCTGATTGGGTGGAGTCTGAGAAATAAAAAAAAAATAAAAAAATTACTAGCCAATGGCGATTCTATTGCCAAGGTGTATGGAGATATTTGAAATGTGTAAAGGTTAATCTGTATTTGAGGGACATTCCAAAAGTGTTGCGTGTTCAAAAAAAAAAAAAAAAGTAAAAACTTACCGGCCGATCAAAGACCATTATCTCCCAGAGTACTTCTGCTACATCAGGCAGAGTGTAAGGTGGCAGACAGAAACAGCAGGTGTTGATCAGCTGAGTCACTAGCTGCTGCCCGTGCTGCCCCATCACCTGGCCAATCAGACGCTTTCGCACCTCAAAGTCATCCTCGTGCTGAAAGAGAAGAAATCAGTTATATACAATGAAAATGTATATACAAGGTCTTTCGATTGGTTTAGTTTGATCGACAGTGCCGCTTACGTCATTGGTGACCCCGGTGTGAATAAGGTCTCTGATGAACTTCATGACGCTGCAGTTGGCATCTCGATGGTCCAGGGTGGTAGAAGCGATGGCACACTGGATGATGTGGACGATAATACTGCTGTTCACCAATGTGACGGGACTGCGCTGGACAAACCTGAAATAACGAGAGGAAATAGCTTATCTTAATGAATTTTATTTTTGTGTGGCAAGTCACTTATTTTGAACTTGTTTCATCATATCAGATTGCTTGTTTTTCTAACATACAGAACTGATACCTTGTGAC